AGAACCTAGGAAACGGAAAAAGAGTTGGAAGGAGAACGGGCAGCATGTGCGGGCAAAACGAATCAAGGTAGAGGAAGTAGTACGCAGTTAAATATGATTGGGAGAAAGGAGTGAGTGAAGGAGTAAGGAGGCGCTCACTTGCTCAAGGAAGGAAGTCGGGAGACGGGAGAACTCGGGCAAAAGCTGAGAACGCAAGCGAAAGAGAGAGTTGGCACTGCCAGCTGGGGAACAGACACGAGTACGAGTACAACCAGGATCGGTAGTGCAAGCCCGGGCGATCGAGAATACGAAAAGGGACAGACTTGGAATCGCTGAACAAAGTAGTAAGGGAGCTTGGAAAGAAGTAGGGAAAAGATTGTTGAGGGGTTACACACATGGGAAAGAAGGAAGGGCAGCCATCCTCTCGAGCACAATGCACCATCAGCAAGGAAGTATTTGACGGGAAAGACAACATCTATACATATATTATCAAGATAGGATTGGAGTAGGGAGAGCAAGTGAAACCATAGGGAGAATAAGCGGACTCAGGAGGATCAAGCATGAGTAGGAAGGAGATAATGTAGGAAAGCAAAGGCAATAAGTGGAACGAAGGAAAGGCATACGAGAAGAAGGACCGAGTGGGTAAAGCGAGAACGAATATTGAGGAAGACGGGATTGTAATCGCGAACGAGAACTCGAGGTAGAGAAGACAAAGGGAACAGACTAAGTACAGTGAGAAAGGGATGATAATCATCCCTCGAACACAGTACACTCTCGTATATGTTGCATCTGACTGCGAAAGGAAGTCCAAGTAAAAGGAAGGGAGAAGCAGGAAGGGGAGGAGTAAAAGGTGAGGAAGAGAAACTCACCCGGTTGAGAGACCGGAGAAAATCCTGATCCCAAGCAAGCCTAGCAAGGGCGATCAGGCTGTGTGAAGCAAAGCGAATACTAGCAAGCCAGATCAAAACGGACAAGTGAGAACACGAAGAGAAAAAAGTGAGTTGGAGGAGAAAAGACCAGCAAAAAGCGAAAAAAACGGAAGAAGAGGGAAGAGAGAAGGCAGGGGTAGCAAAGAGAGGAGGGGTAACGCGAGAGAAAACGGCAAGAAAGAAAGGAGGAAGGAAGATTCGTGAAATGGCGGGGAGAGGACGAAGATCTTAAGGAAGGAGTTAGCTCACTTGATTACAGACGAGGAGAGGATTGACTTCCCGAAAAGGTCAATTGAGATACAAGGAGGCTTTGTGCTCGTCGCCGTCATAGCATCCAACGAGTAAGTCTCCAAGCTCGTGGATGACCTCGAGTTAATTTTTTGGATAAGATGAGCAAGAACGAATTAATTTACCGCTAAACTAAGTAAAAATGCACTACTACCGAAGTGTATGTGCATGATAAGTGAGTGAGCCCCCTAGGCCAGCCGATCGGACGAGCCTAAACCGAGAATGTCCTAGGCAGAGAAACGCGCCCAGGCGCAATCCGATAATAACTCGAAGTAGATCGGCAGGACGACATGTTGCCAATATGAACGCTAACCAAGCACAAAATGTTAATGTACAGCAAGGCGGGGCACCTATCCCCGCGCAACCAGTCCAAGTTCGAGCACCTGCAGCCCCACCCGATTTGTATCTCTTCGATCTCGCACATCACTTGGTTGGGGCATGGCTAGCTACGCTGCGTGCTCAACAGTATGACAATGATGAAGCCAGGATTAATATCCCAGCCTTGTTGGACTGGGATACGCATCATCGGTTCAACACCTACGCTTGGGTGGCCCCGACCTTCGAGAGGGACTTCTTACACCGATTCGATTATATACATCCCGAACAAGCATTCTTTATGATCAAAGTTCGAGTCCAGAAACCCCTTGACTCCGTCACAGAATATCACAGTAGGTTCTACAGGTTGTTCATCAAGTCCAAAAGAGACGAAAAAGTCGGAAGGGATTTATTCATCGACGGACTTCAAAGTCGTGCAATGCGGGCCAAATTGTCAAAGCAATTTTCGCCCATCAATCACGTCATACAACAGATCATGGACGGAGCAGAAGAGATGGGACGGAATTTTGCCGCTAGCTTCCTAGAAGGAGAAGGTCACGCTAAGGAGGGAGATTCCTCGGAATTGGTTAGGGCGAAAGCAGAGTTTGTCTCGCTCCAAAACAAATTTGAGAACATGGGCTTTGTCTCCGGCCTCGTTACGTATTTAGAACAAGTTGGAGTTAAAAGACTGATGACAGACGCAGCCCCAAGACCGCCCATAATGATCGCACCTACGCCTCCTCCTGACACGACTACTACGCCAATTGACTCAAGCGCAATCTTAGAACTAACACGAATGTTAGTTAATCTAATGCAGGCAAGCAAGAAAGAGCAGCGCAAGCACAACACTGGAATGAAATCCTTGATGCGATCGGCGCCTCCCATCGTCGTTCGAGCTGCACCAGTGGCCACGGGAGTTGCCCCGACCAAATAATGGGAGGTGCTATAGCCAATGTTGGCATAAGAATGGATGGATATTACACGTGTCACCATCTAGGTCATATAGGCCAGGACTGCCCCAACCGACCAGCACAAGCCCGAATAGGAGCAGCCCCCGCGGCAGCCGCACATGTGGCCAACGAACCAGGGAAGGTAGGCACGATGGTGGAAGACATATAGGGGGGGGGGGGGAGTGCGATAATTACTACCGAAGAAGTTGCGGAGCTCATCTGGCTCGATGAACACATCCCGCTGGGCTACCCGGGGCTAGGAATGATTGGAGCCATCTGTCCCAAAGAATGAAGAACGCGAAGTAACTGAGTGGAGGCCATCCCCCAGAGAAATGGAGTCTAGCAGTCCCACCTTTGTTACGGGAGATATTGATGTCCCTAACATCATCCGAGCACTGGATCACCGAATTCCCCTACCCATCATACATCCCCTGTCCATATCGTCGCAGGTAGTGGTGTTGCAAAATTGCAAGGCGAACCGAAAACGGTTTGCCCTCGCTAAACTAGCAACCATCAAAGGAAAGACTCCCATCCGTGAGGACAAACCCGATGTTCCCAGTACCTCAGATCCGATACGGTTGGGGCTGATCCGAAAAGATGACAATTTCTTACGTATCAAGACTATTCCGTGGAAGTCCGCGGAATGTGACGTAGAGGTCTGGGGAATCCCGTACAACGCTATCATCGATTTAGGGGGCCCTGTTTTAGTCGTTTCCTTGAAGGTGGTAGAACGGGCAGGAAGAATAAAATATTTCATCACGTTAACCGAAGGGGACCACCTTATCTCCGCTGACGAGGAAAAAATCAATGTGGTAGGAAGGATGAGCAATGCCGCCTTCCGATTGGGAAAAGTCCATGCCTTAGGGGATGTCGTCTTGTTGAATGTGAACACGTATGATGTCCTTATCAGACTGTCGGCCCTCACTGCGCTACAAGCCAACCTAGATTTCGAGAAGTGATCAATTGTTCTTAGAAATACGGAAAGAAAATTGAACGTCATCCCATGCGACTTACTCTCCGAACGGCATTACCTACAGTTCGGAAGGTTTCCCCTGAAATCGGGGGAGCACTCCACCTCATCACCTGGAGGGAGCCGACTGACGTACCAGACACTGAGGAAAAAGACCCGAGTCTTCACCCAGCACTGACAGTGGGGAGGAGACGGACCCGGTGATCCTGGACATGGCGCACCAATTGGTTCGTTACCCCGTTCGACAACAAACAACGAAAACAGTCGCCTTCACGGAACGAAACCTCTGATGCACGCGGACTCTTATCTTGGGAGAACCACTAGTGCAGGTGTCTCGAATGACCGACTCTTGGGAACCCCCTCAAACCTTATATGAAGCCACCACCCCACTTCTCCAAGATATAGCGACAAGAAAGTCTTTTGCGATATTACGGGATTACCTCACTCCTTGCTCTCTACAAAAAAGGAGGTTCGATTGCTACTGCAGGGCGCCGAGAGCAAAGCTCTGGAACCCCCTAGGCGTGGCGATCTCTCGCCTTTTGAGATCGGGATCAAAATTGTCGGGAAGCCCGTAAGCCCCCGAGACATCCACGGCGACGTTACGCCAGAAGAACATGTGGCGATCCGAGAAGAAGACGCTCAAATGGTCGCAGCGGTGTTCTCCTGACGATCAGACAACTCGTTCATTCCGTCTCCCCACCAGGAAACGGTACAAAGATTTGCACCAAACAAGTGACGGTTAGCATCCATGGACAGTTTTACGAACTACACGTGCCACAATACGTGCCCGGTGAAACTCATCGCCTCATTGCCGATATCCTGTCCCAATATCAAGGGGCGATTAGCGTCAAGGACACGAACATCGGACTATTCGTGGTTATCCAACCCAAAATCCAAACAGGAACGCATCCGCCGATCCATTGCAAACCATATCGATATTCCCTTGCGGAACGGAAAACGTTGTTGGAACTGATCCGAGAATTCGAGGCTAACGGATGGATCGAGCCAGCTACTGGGCCCTGGTCATTTCCCGTGGTTCTGGTTCAAAAAAAGAACGGATCGATTCACATATGCGTCGATTACAGGAAATTGAATGATATCACGATCAAAGATGTGTACCCTCTTCCCTGGATTGATGATTTGTTGGATGCGATTGGGTGTGCCAACTATTTTAACAAGTTCGATATCCGCCATGGGTTTCATCATATCCTGGTCAAGGAGGAGGACCGACCAAAAGCAGCTTTTGTGTTGTTCGAAGGCACCTGGCAGTGGGATCGCTGCCCCATGGGAATATGCAATACACCAGCTACCTTCCACAGAGCAATGAACGTCACCTTCCAAAATTTCGTTAACAAGACCCGGCTAACTCAGAGAATGATTAATTTTTGCGTCATTGTGTACATGGACGACATTCTAGTGTACTCTGAGTCGTTTCACGGACACACACAACACATCGAATGGACACTTGGAGCATTGCGAGATGTGGGTTTCAAGATCGCATTTGAGAAAAGCGAATTCTTCCTCTCCGAGATCTCGTTCCTAGGGTACGTAGTGACCCGAAGGGGATCAGGGGAGAGGTCGAACCGGTCATACAGGTCGGACCGCCCAAAAAGAAGAAATACGCGGTCCGATTGGAAGAAGGATTTGACGTAGAGAAGGTGATCGACCGGCTGCTGGAAAGGCATAATTACCTCATGACCCTGAAGGAAATCCTAGCGTCAGCGCCGCGACTCCTCGATGAACTGAAGGGGAGGTTATCACGGCGCCTGGTGCCCAATGTCCATCTGGGTACGATCCTGCCCAACGAGGCAGAGTGGGCAGAGTTAGGTACGAAGATAAACTGGAAGTGTGTAGCATGCGGTACGGTGGATTTGATGGTGAAGGGTTCTAAGTGCGCAGCAATAGTGGACACCGGGGCAGAGATGAACATCATTCGGGAGGCGGACGCGATCAGATTCGGGTTAGATATAGACCGTTCTGACTGCGGTATTCTGCATGGAGCCAACTGTAAGGCCGTGTTTTGTGGGACAGTCTCGAATATACTCGTCAGGGTTGGAAAGGTGAACGCCAGGGCATGCTTCTTCATAATGTCAGACGTGGACCATGGAATCCTCCTGGGGAGGTCATTCCTAAGCAGGACAGAGACCGTGATGTTCAACAAACATGACGGGACGTTGATCCTCCTCTTATGTGATCCTGCCTGCGGAAATTATGAAATAATTACTTGCAGGAACACCGGGCCAAGGAGTATAAGGAACCGGCCCAATCCAGGATCATTCACAATCGAGGAGTCGGAAGGGGAGCGCACTAGGCTCTGGGCAGAGCCCGAAGCAGGACAGGGGGTGGAAGCATTTTCCCTCAGCCTGTCAGATGTTGGGAAGGCCATGGACCTGGTGGCCGCGCATGAGATGGCAGATCCGGATGCCATCCATGCCTTGAGGGGACAAATTCTGGAATGCCCTGAGGCAGGAAGGTTGGAACTGGTATATCGGCTCCCAGGCAGTGGAGGGAATCCCGCATCAGCGCAAACACAATCTGTGAGTCGGCCTTTTTTAGAGGACAGCTCAAGCATTTTCCCTCGACGGCAAGATACGTACTCACGTCGCCGACTTTATTAAGCCTAAGGGGACGCTGCGGTGGGTGCAGGATCTGCAGAGATTGAATGCAGTGACTGTGCGAGATGCTGGAGGACTGCCGAATGCAGACGCGCTGTCAGAATCCTGTGCTGGAAGGCCTATAATTTCACTTATAGAACTTTACTCAGGATACGATCAGTTCCCAGTCTACCCGCCCGATAGGCCGGTGACAGCTATGCACACGCCGCGAGGATTAATCCACATGAACGTAGCCCCACAAGGGTAGACCAACGCAGTGGCAATGGTCCAACGGGCCATGATTCGGGTCATGCAGTCAGTCAGCCCCTATATCACACAGCCATACATTGATGATTTGGCAGTGAAGAGGCCGGCGACGAAAGAGAGCGACGAAGTCTCACCAGGGGTAAGGCGCTTTGTCTAGAAGCACATTCAGGACCTCGAAAAGGTCCTGAGCCTGCTCGAAGAGCATAACCTCACGGCAAGCGGGGTCAAATCCAGACACTACATGAGGGGAGCGACTATCTTGGGGATAGTCTGCAATGAGAAGGGCCGAAGGCCGGATGTGAAGAAAACGGACAAGATTACTGAGTGGCCGGTTCCGTTCCACTCAATAACTGATGTCAGGAGCTTCCTTGGTACGTGTGGATTTTCGAGGGCCTTCGTCAAGAACTTTGCCGCGAAGACTAAACACCTGAGGAAGTTAGTCCGTCAGGATCAGGAATGGGTATGGGGTGAGGAACAAGAAGAGGTGGTAGCAAAAATGAAGGAGGAATTTCGAGAAGGAGGGTTGGTGTTAGGGGCGCCAGATTATGACGCCACAGAGACGCGACCCTTCATTGTCGAGACGGATGCGGGACCGACTGCCTTAGGGGGAGTTCTAATTCAGGCAGACATGGAAGGGAAGGAAACACCCTTGCGATTTAAGAGTCGGACTCTCTGTACGACGGAGAGGAACTACTCTCAGTTCAAGAGGGAGACCCTTACTGTCCTCCATTGTCTGCGAATCTTCTGGAATTATATCTTTGGCAAGAGGTTTATTTTGAGAGTGGATCCGACCGCCCTGGCCTACTCTCTAAGGAATTACGTTCCATTGGATCCGACGATTGCCAGATCGTTGACATACATCTGGATGTTCAATTTCGAATTGAAACGGATTCGTGGTAGCAAGAACCGGGCGGACGGGCTGAGTCGGATCAGCAGGGATAAGCAGGAAGGGGAGGAGGTGGAGAATACGCCCCCAGTTGATGGATTTCTGGATCAGGAAGAAGATGTTCGTTTTCATATCAACAAATGGACGCCGCGAGTGCCTAGCTGTGTAGGTTATCCTATCTGGCAAGCGCCGAAGGGGTATGAAAGAAGGAATGAGTTAGTCCTTAAGCCCTTTRAAGAAGAGGATCCCTGGGGCGGTAAGGATGTCCAGTGGATGGTGGAATTACCGCTGGCCAGCTCGCATAAGCCTGGTGGAGGATATGAGGACGATTGAGGAAGGACCTCGCCAGGTAGAACGGCATGAGGACCTGATGGGAGGAATGTATCTCCTCGTCAATACGCTATTGCAGGAAACCCTGGACCAGTCAGGCTCGTTGAACCCGGCAGGGAATGTGGACGAAATACCCGAGAGCCAGGATGACGAGTTCGAAGAAGGGGAAATAAAGGAGGTTTTTCGTACAGAGGAGTACGACGGGATCTACCTAGAGTTGGGGCTTCTTCTGTCATGTGAAATGCGGCTAAGAGATGCGAGCGATAGGGCTCAAAGGATGCTGCAATGCTACCTAGTGCGAGACGGTCACCTTTTCGTGAGAAGGGAAGTGGGGAATCCCAGGAGGATCGTGTGCGGTAGGAATCGTCAGATCGACGTCGTAGCAGCACTACACGATGGCATTGCAGGAGGGCATCGAGGGGTACAAGCCACGTATGCCAAGATAAGTGAGTTGTACTACTGGGATGGAATGATGGACATGGTCGGAAAATTATGTCGATCTTGCGTACCCTGYCAGGAGAGATCCCGTTTAAGGCAGRGAGAGTCGCTGCATCCAAGGTTAGAACGAGAGGTAGGGGCCGTAGTGCATCTCGATCTGCTTTTTATGCCACTTGGGGATCAGGGCTATAACTATATCTTYGATGCGCGCGATAACCTRTCTGGGTTCGTAGACGGGCGTGCTATTCGCACAAAGACCGGGTCAGTCCTGGTGAGCTGCATCGAGGAGTACTACCTRCGTTATCCTTTCGTCAGGGAATTCGTAATGGACAGGGGATCAGAGTTTACCTGCCAGGAGGTGCAAGAACTGTTAGCAAGATATGGTGTGGCAGCCAACTACACCACGGYCGCGCACCCCCAGGCAAATGCTCCCGTAGAGAGAGGACATAGTACCATTACGAACCTCCTGGCCAAATGAACCGAAGGTAGGCCTAATCAATGGCCAAGATATCTAAGGGCGGCTTTCTTTGTCGAGAACATTACAGTAAAGAGATCCACCAAGTACGCACCTACGACGCTGTGGTACAGAAGGCATGTCACCTTCCCTATCGAAAACTTTCTTAAGACGTGGAGGCGTCGGGATCTGGAAGTCAACCTGTCATTTGAAGAGTTGCTCGATATTCGGGCGCGGCAAGTCGGGGCGATAGAAGAAAGGATCCAGGAGGCATCTGAGCAGGTGGCGAGAAGCCGTATGGATGATAAGGCCCGATGGGATCAGTCTGCGCGAGTGAGGAAAGTACCCTTGGCAGTCAGGGATGTCGTGCTTCTCTACGATATGTCGCTGGAGAAGTAGTGGTCTAGGAAGCTCGATAAGAGATGGTTAGGTCCCTACCGAATTGCACGGGTCGGAGACTTCGGAGCGTACCAGATCGAGGAGTTACATGGGACTGAGTGGAAGGATTGGGTATCTGGAACGCGAGTGAAGAAATTCGTGGCGAGAGAAGAGGTAAGAGAGATGACCTGACCGCCCCTAGAATAAGAAGCAATAGGGTGTGTAGGTTAGGAAGGATGCATGCTGCATAAGTGTGGTCTGGTCTGAGCTTGCTCTGATTATCACCTGCTTGCTTACCCCAACGTGTGTCGTTTGTCTCCTTCGCCTGTTGTGCAGGTCTGACTTTACGAAGACAGCCATGCCAAGAGGAGGGAAGAGGACACGGCCGCCTCAGAGGCCGTTGGGCGCATCAGGAGGATATGAGCGGCATGGGCCTCGCCAACTAGGGAGTACTCCAGTCTACAATGATGGGGACATCGAGCTATTCCTGGACAATTTTTGGGAGCATGCGAGGAGTATAGGCTGGACCGTCACTCAGGCGATTGAGAGATTGAGGGAAGCAGGTAGGTTCGAAGAGCCCATTACCAGGATTCGTAGGGAGGCGACGACGAGGCAGGAGGTGGAGATAAGGATGGAGGAGTTGCGACCCTCGCCTGTGGGACCTGATGGCAGGCCGATCCGCCTGGAAATTGGAAATGCGACAGGTGTCATCCCCGCGTTTGAGTGGTTCATGCAAGAGCAAGGCATGCAGAGAGATGATTGGATGCAGACGCTACTACTCTGGACCAGGAAGGCGGAAAGGCCACTGGCTATGCAGATCAGGGACATGGCACGAGATTGGGAAAGCTGCAGGGCACATTTGAGAGAGGCCTTTCGACGGCCAGAGCTCCCTCAGCCCAGAGTTGAGAGGCGGCAGAGGAGTCAGAGGCCGAGGGACCCTGAKCCCAGGGAGGCGAGACCATCTCGAGAAGGACGGAAGGCCCTAGCCAGGAGAGAGCAGGAGCCAGAGGATGAGGAGCGAGGGGCATACCCTGAGTGTGGGTTGGGGCCAGTGGAGTTCCATCGTTTTACTGAACGTAGATTGAGGAGGTCGCCAGCACACACACAGGGGAAGCCACCAGCGTCAGAGGGGCCCTTGAGGGAATTGGAGATGCATTTAGATATCTCTCGGTGGAGGGCGTCGCTTCAGGGTGAGGAGCATGGAGAGCAGGCAGAGGAGATGTCACGAGAGGAGGTGCCGCGAGAGGAGGTGCCACAGAGGGAGATACCACGAGAAGAGATGCCACGGGAGGAGGTGCCACAGGAAGAGGTTCAGGGTACTCAGCGAGAGAGGGGGCAAGGCGATGAGGGAAGACGTGCAGGGAAGGAAGTGATAGAGGTTGGAGAGGACACGCCCCCACAGACGCCACCAGTGGGTTTGAGACTCGGGGATGCACCAGGGAGCACCCGACAGGCAAATGAGGGGTTGCAGAGAGAGGAGACCCCTTTACCTTCGTCAGAAAAGGCTCCTTCGCCAGAAGGGAGGGCAGAAAGGAGGAGAGAGAGGGCAGTTGTAAGGAGAGAAGCTTTGATCCTGATTGATAGGCACCTAGCAGCTCATGCCCTGGAGCACCCAGACCTGGAGGAGCCAGCACSTGCAGAGCCACGCCAGGAGTCATGCCAGCCCGAGAAGGAGATGGAAGCAGAAATCCCAAAGAGGGTCGACCTCCGCACGAGGGAAAGGGTGCCAGCTGGAGAGACGGCTGAAGAAAAGAGGGCGAGACGAACTAGGCGGATGGATGAGATATGGCAGGAGAGGCAGAGGTTGGAGGCAGCAGGGGAGCTCCCGGTGTAGCAGCAAGAGAGGCAGAGATCGGAGGCAGCAGGAGCACTCCCGGGTCAGCCGCCCAGCGCACCAGCTAGGGCCCCAGAGATTCCTGAGATATGGAGGGACTTCTGGGAGCAGAGAGGAGAGGAGCTTCCATCGCCAGTCAGAGCTGGGTTTGAGGTGGTCAGGAAGGCGGAAGAAAGGTTAGATCGGAAAATCAAGTTCCTAGCCAAGACCACTTTTGACCGGCACTTGTTATTGAAGGGCGATCTGGCGGGGAAGAAAATGAAGGAAGCCAGCCATGGAGTACGTCTGGAGGCTATGGAGGTGGAAATTCAAGAACTTAGGGCTTTGGTGGCCAGCCAGACAGCTATCATTAAGAGTCTGAGGCAGCAAACCCAGGAAAAGGTGGACAGACCAGAAAGCAGCCGGCCGGGAAAGCAGAGGTAGCCAGGACAGGGATTGCCAAGACAGCCATCTGCGATAGAGCCTCGCTAGGAGCCGCCTATGGGGAGAGTTATCCTGGAGCCAGAGGGGGCGAGAGCCCTGAGACAGGCGGAGAAAGAGGCGTTCGAGTTTAGAGCCCCTACTGAGCTCGCGACGTTGCCGGTGGCAGCGGCAGGACCAGTCGTACCTTTGGCAGTAGAGGAGGGGCTGCCACCATCTAGCAGTGAGCCGACTCAGGGCTCGGCAGAGGGATCCATGGGCATGCTCCTTGAGGCGGTGCATACTATGCAGGAGGAGGTGAGTTTGTTTTCACCTGAGTAGAGGATAGAGGAGCCTCTTGAGAGAGAGATGGGGATTGAGGAGGAGGGTGCCATCGAGGGAACACTCCAGAGGATAGGCACATCTGAGTATGGACCAAAGGAGATTGAGGAGCAGCCCACGGCAGTGCCAGGGGTGGCACTCGAGAGGAGACCTCAGAGGTTGGACACGCCCGAGTACGTTCCAGCGACAGAGGATTTGAGAGGCAGACTAGGATTTTGGGCTACTGGATCTGGGTCTGGTGGACCCGTTCCGGGGACAGAGCGGCAGGAAGTCGTTGGTACCGCAGCTCCTCAAGCAGAGCAGTAGGGGGTTATCAGTACCTTGGCAGGATCTCCTTCATCGCTACCTCCTCAGCCCAGGAAGAGGAAGTTCAAGAGAAAGGTAGATGAGCTATGTTTTTACTGCAAAAGGGACGTGCATCATGCTTTGGACTGTCTCGAGTTTCTTGAGGATAAGGCAGCAGGGAAGATTTCAGAGGTAGGGGGTAAAATGTATGATGGACAGGGTAGGATAGTAGAGAAGTCCGCAGATGGACTTAGGGCTCAGTTATATAGGCAAAACCAGGACAAGTTGAGAAGGTAGGGTCGGCTTTGTCTATATAAGCGAGCGGGCATTTTGTGAGACATGAACTTAGGTTCTGTATGATACTCTCTTAGACTTAGAAGACATTTTGATGCTTACTGTTAATCTAGATCTGAACTCTAGTGTTTCTACTGAGTTGGGGTTTTGAGGGTCAGGGTGGTTTAGATGAGGCATGTGCACATTTAGGTGGCCTACGCCCTGGCCTTTGAGAGACAGATCTGACATGTATTCTAAGGGTAGTTGTCCGTGTGGGTTTGGTGTGGCTTGAGTTGAGCAAGCTATGATTTGGAGACACTTTCTGTGTGAGACATTTTATTCCCTGAGTGTATATTATGATGAGGTTTCCTTCAGGGACCATTCTTATATGTGACGATCACTTGTCTCTCTCACATGTGTGGTTGTACTCAAACCTTTTATGTACCTTGGGTATTGTGAATATGATTGTAAGTAAAACTGTCTACTCCTCGGTATACTTGTGCGACCTTGCTACGGCAGCTGATAAGGCAGAGTATAAAGGGAGGAAGCGCAGTCCGTTTGTGAAAGTTATCTAAGTTGTGATGAGGACCCATAAGATGGTCTCTCAGTGATGTTCTGTTTTATGATGGGACCCCCTTAGATTTTGGAAAAAGGATGGGATGTTTTGTGATGTTTTGTGATGTAACGAAACCCCTCGTGATTTTGAGAGAGGGGGTGTTTTGTTTATGATGAGACCCTCGTGATTTCTGGAAGAGGGAATGTGTTGTTTTATGGTGAGACCCCTCGCGATTTTTTGGAAGAGGGGGTGTTTTGGTTATGAAGAGAGTCCCTTTTGGATTGTTGGAAAAGGGAAGTGGTTTTTTGGTTGGAAGACTCATCCTCAGAAGTGAGTAAATTGATTTATGGCATGACGAGTTGTTCGATGGGTGATAAAGTCTGACGGAAAGGGGCCACTTGTTGTTTGAAATGTCTGAGAAAGCCGCAATGAGTACAGAGCGAGAGATGTCTCAGGGTGGGTGGCTGCTGGCTCTGATCAAGTCAGGAGTCACGGACTGGTGGATTTAGCGTTGATTTTGCTTGTAAGCGTGCGAAGGAGGTCATGCCTATTGAAGGAGGGCTGGTAAATGCGTTCGAGCCCCTGCGTATCGCGCAGTGGGCCTGTGATTTTGTTTTGCGACGCAGCCGTTTAACCACTGGTGCTAATTCTAAGACATATTGAAGAAAGGCCAAGCTAACGGAAAAGAGGTTAGTACCTCTAGGGCATAACCCCATTGGATGGCTGCTAACCAGCGCAGCCTGGTTGCGGGACCACGGGGTAAGAGTTTAAGGGGAGTTACCCGCCCAAGGGAAATTACTCCGTGGGATATTGAAGGTTGAGATTTTGGGAGGTCCTGATTAATTGCCTATCAGGAGAAACCCTATCGTTGCGTAACCAATGAGGGTACTGCCGTTAAATAACAATGCAGTAGGCTGCAGTCCTGGTCCAATCAGCCAGGCTATGGTGGGCCAAGATGGAGACCTGGCCTTTCTGTACTTGACTGCAGAAAGAGCAAAGTGGATATTAAGTTTACATATATACTTATATGTATTTGATTGCGAGAGATTTTGAGAAGGAAGGCAAGAGTGCCTTCAAAGGTCTCGGTTAAGGCCCGCGTCCCTAGTATTTGCCACGACTAGGGACACCCAACGAGAAGCCAAAGGTTGTCTAGGACCGCGGAGAGGACAATTGGGAAGGTCTTCGCAACTGATGCTGCCAGTGTCCTGATTTCTGGACGGTGCGAGGCCCAAGTTAGAAACCTGGCAGCATATAGTTATGAAGGCATGGTTTGATGGATGCCTCTACCCTGTGTTTGTCGGCTAATCGGATTGGCTCATTTCCTTCGTCAGCATTTGGAGTGTGAATGGATTTATAGCTTTCAGATTTGGCGAAGCGACGGAGACGTCGCTTAATATGGTCCGGTAAGGCTGTCGGTGCGAATACCCTTACAAGGGTATCCGCCCAAGTTCTTGCAAGTAACAGAAGATTGTTTGGCTTAAAGTTTAAGTATACCGCGCTAAGCGCGGCGCGCTAAGCGCGGTCGCGTCTGTGAGTTACGTTGATGGGTAGGTTGACTAGAATAGCGAGTGCGTGGGCGCGCAGGGTTTAAGGCGCGCGTGATTCTTTTCTGTTGTTGATCGTAAAGTCGGCCCGGACCTCGGTCGTTTTGCTTAGTGATATTATTATTTATTTATTTTTTATTAAGTAGGAATTAAGGATATTTTCGTTTGATTGGTACATCTGACCGAGTCAAGCGCGCGACGGTATCGGCAATAACGGCGCGATTTCGTGCGGTAAGCGGGATGTCGTAGGACGGCAGCGCGGGGCAATTATGGCACGGTGTGAGCAAGCCAGCGCGGGCACTGGGAGCCGCACAACCGTTTGCTGGCCCAAAGCGCCGCGCCACACTACCTCGTATGGTACTCTCCGGGCACTAGTCTCAGGCTTGGGCTTGGCCCTATAGGTTACGACATTTGGGTTGGCAATACAGAGGTTCGGGGATCGAGGCCGGCGGACGCCGGCGCGGCAGCAGCAGAGCGGCGTGGAGGAAACTGAAGGGTTGAGGACCCTGTGGGGCTATTCCCCCCCCGGTTTTGCTTACGGGTGTGGCGGCGGGCCCAATCCGCAGGACTGGTGAGGTGCCAGCGACCCCGCGGTTCCCCGACGTTACTGCTATTTTATTTTATTTTATTTTTCCCTTTCTGTTCTGTTCGTCGGCTGCGGTAGGAGCGCGTGGGGTCGCGTGGGGTGTGTTGTATTCGCGGGGTTGTCTGAAGTACAATTGCAGACTGCGTTTGTGGCTGCGCAGGAGTTACCTTAACCACGCCCCGTTTGGCCTGGGGCGCGGCACAGCGGGTGGCGCGGGACCCAGGGGCTTAGCTCGGTCTGTATGCTCGCGGGCTGTTGAAATACAGGCATGTGTCCAAGTCCAGTTGGTGGAGCCCGGGAAGGGAAACCGATATTTATGAATTACCGCAGGGCTATTGTGTAGGGTCGCAGGGTGCTGTGGGCGGTAGTCCTCCGGGACATCCGTTAAAATTGGAACGATACAGAAAAGATTAGCATGGCCCCTGCTCAAGGGTGACGCGCGTAAACTTGGGATTGGAACTGACACTTATCTGTGCGAGATACCGGCTGGATATAGGGGCGAAGAGACTAATCGGTCCGTCCAAGTGGTTTGGCCATAATCAAAGTTTCCCGCACGATGGCCAGGGCGAGCAGCGTTGGGCGCTGTGGAACCATTGCGGCCAGGTGCTACGGCAATTACTGATTGAGACCGGAGGCACTGTGGCGAGGCTTACGGCATTGTTGCGTCCTTCGCTCATGGTAGTTTTTTACTGCAGTTGTGTTTTTCGAGGGATAGCCGATGCACAGGAGTAGTTTTGCGCTCAGTAGGGCGACCGAGCACTACAGCGGTGGCAGCAGGTTCGAATGGGACGAGGGGCGATAGGAAGGACAGAGTGACGGGGGTGAGGACAAAAGAAGAATGGATTTGGCCAGGATCGATGACCGGGTACATTCGATAGAGGCGCACACCGTGGGGGCCGAGGCCGGTGTACAACCTGACGAGCAGTGCCAAACTTTGCGAATTGCCCGAGACCGGTCATCCCCGCGGCACAGACATTGTCCTTCGGGACATCCGTTAAAATTGGGACGATGCAGAGTAGATTAGCATGGCCTCTGAGCAAGGACGGCCCATATAAAGGGAAGGGGAGAGGGAGCGTTCTGTTCTTTTTTCTTCTTTTCTCCCGCTTCTCACTCTCATCCGCGGTTCCTACTACCGGTTAGAGGCGGGCGTAGCAGAAAGGGAGTATCGGGATAACAGAAGAGGAAGGCGCCGTGGGGAGAGGCACGACACAGCCACTATACGC